TAAATGATTAGTAACAATGCCAAGATAGCTATGTTGTTTCAGAACACAACTAGAAATGTGACCATGCTTGTGAATGTTAAGTATTTTCAGTAGTTAGTGTGATTTTTATTTTACCATTGTCATATTTTCTATTAAAGGCAAACTGTTCCTCTTACAAGCGTGTGGTGTGTTACAAACAAGGTTAAGACCAAATTGTATATGACATGCATAATTGAATTATATCAGTATATTCCATTCATGAAACTAACTTATCATACTAAAAATTAATACAATATTCTGTTCTGTTTGTGTCATTAAGTAATGCACCATATTCTATAAGAAAAAAAAACATTAATTAAACAAACAAAAATAGAGAACGTTCTTTTCCTTATACACAAAGACGGCTCTACTGACCTGCTGACCCGGTAAACCCAGTTATCCACTGCCTCCTCTCGTGACATTCGGCGATATATTCACTCTGAAATCATCAAAATATAACTTGCACAGTTACTCAAATTACTGGATATGAGTGATACGTCATTTAAGTTTAATTGAGTGCTTAATCGTGTTTTTAGTTCATTATTATTATGGTATACAAACACTACAGAATAATATGATGTTTTTACGAAGATACCTCAAAGCATGGAGGTTTACCTCTATGCTCAAAGTATGCACGAAGAAAGTACAGCGAGAGTATCCACTGACGCGCAGTGGAGGTCGATGCAAAGGTGTACTGAGTAAATTTTATTACATGAGTTACGAGCAATCCTATGCTTCTTAAAAGTTACGTTATGTATCGCTGTGCGTTTATTTATTTTTTTAATGTTATTCTTAAAATAAAACTGTACATACATTATGCGCATCTGCAGATGGTATGAGATACGCTGCAATTCTACCATTTACTTTTGGTACAATTTTTTCCATCTCGACTCTCAGATCAGCAATTCTTTCAGTTGTGTCAGTAGCCGTTGGTGGCAAATACTGAAGAAATACAGAAGTTAGTTTACATCAACGTTAAAATGATATAGTATATGCATGATAAAGACGTACCCTCATCACGAGTGATGAACGTACCAATCAAAAGGGATAACCTGAGCACGTGGGATTATTTCACGATTGTTCACAATTGGCAATATGTTCTCTTCTGGGTATTGCTACAAGTTCTCAAGAAATGGGACACATCAAAAGTTATTGAGCTTATTAATTATTATTTATATCATTTATGTCTGACTAGCTGTTTTATGTTGCCATAGTAATTTATATTAGCGAACTCTCGTTCCAAATCAAATTGCGTAAAATAAATAATAAATGAAGAGCGAAAATTAAAATCGCAAACAAAGTGTTTTCAAATCACGCATTGTACGTGATTACAATTGTATCACTGCCACACAATGTTCATTAGATCATTATACAGTATTAAATGCCTTACCGGGTCATCGGGATCGCTGCAGTCTCGGACTGTGGATTCGTCACGTTTAGCACGATGTCTTGACATGATGTTATATTCATATGGACTTGGGCCTGGCAATGCATTGCATGCATACAAAACTGTGCATATAAAACAACCAATGCGTATTTTAATTAGGAATAACTTGGTTAAATAAACTAACTCATGTCGAAATATAACACATCTGTCACATGTGTCTAGAGATTGGTCACTGATACGACTTGATAACTGGTTTCAAGTGAAAAGCTGGGATCAACCCTTGATCATAACCTGTTATCATTAGGCTTATACGAAGTACTAGACGGAAATCGAGTCAGTGATTGGAACTAATTACAGATATAAACTTTGCTGACGGACTGTTATTTCTCACAGTTGACAACAGTAGTCTCCCAACATAGTGAACAATTAATCAAGTATATTATGGCGTGTTAAATACTTCATGTGATTGGCTACATAAGTGGAATGTGTGGAGGCCACGCCTCGAAATCTTAAGCTTCCATGTAGTAGACTGTGTTTTGAAATGTCAATAAAGGCAGCTCTCCACGAGGCGGAGGTTGGCACGAATTCCATCTGTGTGTGTCTTTGCTTGGTTGAAAGGTTTGTGATCGTGACGATCCCGGATACCTGACGCAATGCTAATAAGAACACGAAAATTACACCCTTATACATCACGCGTAATTTCCAAATCTCTACAATCTGGAAATCGCATCTATTGTTTGGAAAACATTTTTGATAGTTTCAATGTGTGTGTGAATGTTCTAATACAATAGAATAAGAAGAAAGAAATTTATGTACTAAGTTAAAGGTCATTTCATTTTCGTTATTGTGAGATTTTTTCCCCACCATTGTCAACCTTTACAGATGTCATTTTCCCACCTTTATACTACATGTGCATATGACAACAACTGTGGCTGATTACAAATCTGCATATGACAACAACTGTAACTGTTTACAAATCTGTATATAACAACAACTGTGGCTGATTACAAATCTGCATATAACAACAACTGTGGCTGATTACAAATCTGCACATGACAACAACTGTGGCTGATTACAAATCTGCATAAGACAATAAGTGTGGCTGATTACAAATCTGCATATGACAACAATTGTGGCTGATTACAAATCTGTATAGTGTCATGAATTAGTTTTCGCGTATCTGTTGACCGACTTAATTAGTTGATTATTAGCTGAATTGCTGTGTTATGTCTGTCATCGTTTAGGCCTATTTGAAGTTTTGGACGGAACTTGGCTCAGTGATTTGGAACTAATTACGAGATAACCGTCGCTATTCTGACTATTAATTCTGACAGTTGGTATTCATAGTTATTAATGTAGTGAACGATTAATCAAAAGATATGACGTATTCAGTACTTAGTGTGATTGGCTTTATGATTGAAGGTTACGCCCTAGTGTCTTTTTACTGTTTTGTAATTGGTTAGAGCTTTGAAAATGAATAAAGAGAGTTTGAGTTGGTCTTGACGAGTACACTACGATAGAGGCAGACTAGTGCAGTCCTGGAGAGCCTTGGGGCGAGCTTTGACGCAGTCTAAAAGAGTCTTGGGTCAGCCTTGCGATAGTCTTGGGGATTTTTTCCCCAGGGCGCTGTTTCTGATAGAGTGCTCGATTGACCGACTAAGACGAGAGTTGAAACGTATTTCGTTGTGTGTGTCTTATTTGACTGTAAAGTATAAGTGACTTTCCCGATCCCGTACCTCAAAGGGACGAGATATAGAGACGAGACGAGATTCCACCGGACAAGTGTGGAGAACCCAGAGAGAGAAGAATTCCCCGGCTGATAATAGAGTGAAACGGCCAATACACGGCTAGAACAATAGGTCACATGACCAACAGTGTTGGTCACACCATGGACACAAAGGTATTACAAGGGCGTAGTGTGAAAGATTAAATCGTGGGTGTCGAAGATACCAAGTTCGGGGAATTCTCCACCTTTCTATCGAACAAAGACACACACAGAATCGAATCGTTTTACATTTGCTCTCAGAGAAGTTAAAAGACTCTAAGGCGTGGCCTTCACACATATAGCCAATCACGCAAAGTACTCAACACGCCATAATGTCAGATTAATTGCCCCCGATTCGGGACATAACTCTCATACTTATCGGCGTCTTGTTGACTTAACCAACTTTCATAGTCGACCATTATATCAGCCAGTTGTTCCAATCACTAATTCCCTAACATACGCATGAACCTGTTCATGACAAGTTACGAGCAGGTGTGGATCATACAGAGGTCATCAGTGAAAGTCGCTTTAGCTGGAAAAGCGGCCTCACCGAAATACATGAAAATATAAATCATGACAGTAGCCCAAAATAAATCCACCGACGTCTCGTGGCGTTAGCTATTTATACACTATCCAATTTGAGACACAAGCGAGATAAGATATTTCCCCATCAACAAATAATTTTGGTGACAACAACAACACTGACCACTCAGAAGCCAGGATCACATCTGCATTACGATTTCATGGCTTAAAATAACTCCAAACTTTCAACAACACAATGAAAACTTCAGGTCAGCTACTTAAAGTTAAAGAAGGGAATTATGGACAGTAGCACCATAGCTTGTCTCCCATTGATGCAAGTAACCACGAGCTGACGCAATCGCTGTTTGACTACTCAAACTGTCAATCACTTGTCCGGTGTATAAGTCTAATTATTAGTCCAGTACCAGGTACATTACGGCATGGAACTATAGTTCCATGATTACGGTCATCGACTTCTGACATTCTTTTAAGTGATAGCATCATAATGTATGTGTGTGATCGAGTTATATTCACCCCTCTACAAAATAAAGTAATTCTCTTTTCCTTAATAGCGAAATAATAATTTGTTTGTATGTGGTAGTCGTGGGAAACATGTACTCTGACCACTCAAGGTCCCCAGAGACATATAGGCCGACACCAATGGGTTGTCGAAGAATGGTCCCTCCCAAGAGATTGATAATCTGATCCCAAAGTGATATCGGGGAAAGGTCCCGAATGACCTACAGTCTGACCCCATTGTGATATCGGCTAAAGGTCCCACAAAACATACAGTCTGACCCCCCTCCCCCCCCCCCAATGTGATTCTGAGGGAAGGTCTTGGGAAAGGTTCCAAGAGTTCTATATTCTTACCCAAATGTGATATTAGAGAAATGCCCTGAGCGACATATAGTCTGATTCAAATATGATGTTGGGAATGATCTCCAGAGAACTATAGCTTGTCACAGGACGAGTCAGATGGCCAAGGCGTGTAATTGTTTATAAACAAGTGTATACCCATGAGCGTTTGCGTGTGTTGCGTGCAGGTGACGATCCCTCTGCTTTCAGAAAGTAACACTAGAAATCGGGCGGTTGTTTTGCTTACCCCCTCACACCACCATTCAGTCCCTACGTGTTAGCAATACTTATTTGTAACTGTGACACATTTTGTATTGATACCAATTTTATGAGAACAATGAACTATAAATCACAAAAGGTCAACGCCTACGCACATGTGTACTGCATTGACACACGTGATAAAAGTATTCGGACTTTTATTGCACATTCCATTTATGAATAGGGGGTCCTTTCCCCCTCCCATTACTAATTGCGTACACAATTTTTGACATGGCTCACTAAATGTCCTGAAAAAAGTATCAAATACCCACAATTATATACTTATCTGGGTATTCCGAACTCGGGCTGAAATGTCCTGAAATGCAGAAATGCAACTGAACGGAGCATAAACATAGTCTGCCCACCAATGTAATGTGAAGGTCCCGAGAGATATTTAGTTCAATATTTTGGGTGGATTTTAATTGGTGGTATAGAGATTATTTTGATCGAACTATGTTTTAAAATTGGTTTTAATGATTAATATGATATATACTAAGCGACATTTGTCCTAAGCAACGAATCAAAATAGATGTTTTTTTTTATTATTATTAATAAACAGACGTTATCATCAGGGCAACGAAGAGAGGAGGCGTTAGGAGAAGGAAAAGTTCGATTTGTTTACTCAACCATAATCTTAAAAGATACGGTGAATGCGGCACGTTTTTTCGGTTATAGTTGAAAATATCGTAATTATCGTACCACGTCGTGTTTGATATGGGTCTTATGTGACATATACAATGTGTGTAAAATACACTGTTCGAAATTCGAACCTGTGTTTTCGAGTGGCCGATATATTGGCGGAAGATAAAATAAGATAACCGAGTGCAGATTACACCTGAACCAGGTCAGGTGTAAAATTTCGGGCAGCTATCTGTACGCCGGCCGGTTTATGATGGTGTTTCAAACACCGGGTTGGAATAGCAATCATGTATCATTTAACTATTTGGCATTTCGCTATTTCAAATACTTGAGCTTGAAGAAAGTAAAAATAAACAAACAATTCACCTTTTCAGAAATAAATTGCGCAATATGAACACATAACAAATAGAATAGAATAGAATAGAATAGAATAGAATAGAATAGAATAGAATAGAATAGAATAGAATAAGATTACATACCTATTGCAAAAAGAATCAACAGAGTCGGGCGTTGACAAAACATGGTGAAATCAGATTCGTGCTCCGCTCAGTGTATCTGAGGAATTGAATGCAAGCTGATAACAAAATTTCAGGATTCTAACAAAACAAAAACAAATTTGAAGATCTAAAGAAAAAAATATTGGAGACTTGAAACAGCGGGTGGCATTAGTGATGTTACTTCTACATCCAATGTATCACGTGACAAACTAAATCATAAATAATAAAAAAGATATCAGATCATAGCCTCGTTCACAGTCATTGTAAACCAGAAACAAAGATATCAGTCCATAGCCTCGTTCACGGTCATTGTAAACCAGAAGACGCAAAAGTAAATGCGCAGCGTAATTGACAATAGCACAAAATAATATTTTACAAATTATTAGCCTGTAAACAATGCTCTAAGTTGACACTATGACGATTTTTGTGATTGTTTAAACCGCGGCTCCTCAATACACAATATTGCAAATGGAATCTTAGACAGGGTAAAAGTCATAACCATCTGGGCAAGTGCCTAACCGAGATGTTCAAAG